GGCTCATTGTGAGTCTGGGGAACACTGTTGCAAATCCTCATTAACTAGATTGTTATCTCAATATGTAATTCTTTCTTCTGTCTTCTCCATTGAGTCACTCTTCACCAATCTGCCCAAATCTTGAATCTAGATAATCTAGTCTCATTGTTCTGATTTCTATTGCCCTTACTTTATTCATTATTTCTAGAACCACACATGTATGTACAGTCATTTAAACAGAGTGTACAGAAAACAGCATGTGTGAAAGCAAGACATTCTAGGAGACATACATACTGGAGTAGGAAACAATACTTCAAAAAAGAAGTTAGGTCAGCTAAGCATAATATTTATATGATGTATTGAGACTAAAAGACACATTGTAAGTCTAAGAATTCAGCAAACTTCTTTGCATTTTACCATCCCTATTTATAAAATGAGGGATTAAACTATGTGACTTTTCTAGTCTTCTCTTATTATTTAAAGCAGAAGTCAGTTGCTCAACAATCTTCTGACGAATGAATGAATGTGAAGAGGTGAGAGCACTTTGGAGTCCACATGATCAGAATCCTAGCTAACTGTTGGACATAGCTGCATTTTAGAGCAGAGTCAACTATTTGATTTCTTACTCTGGTTGTCATAGCCAGGATGCAGGCACAGTAGGGTGACTCTTTCATTCAAATTCAAGTTAAGTTGTCATTGATTCATATGGGGAAGAACTCAAAGAAATAAAATTCTAAGGATATATGTGTTGATATAAACTCTGCACTGTCCTGGAGCAGGGTGGCTGTGAATGGATCATCATGGCTGATAAAATGCCAAGGTTTCCTGGTGAATCTCTTTCTAAAGAACTTGCATGGTGATACCTTGAGAAAAGGAATGTTAAGAGGCTACGTATCCCATATCCTGAAGAGGAAAGACTTCACCCAACTACCTCTGTGCAGGGAGGTGCCTTGATTTCCTGTGTTCACTAAGTTGACCAAACTCCAGTTTACAAATTAAGACTTATCAAAATTTGGGGTTGCAAAAGAAATTTTATAAAACAATGGTGTGAGCTTACCTTGTGTACCATAAACACCCCATTCACAAATTTTTCTTTAGTTTGTGAACAGAGATGATTGATCTTAGGAGTTGCATTGGCATTTTTAATCAGCCTGCTTGAGATCTCCATCTTTCGGTCAGCGCCCACATCAGACACAGATGAGAAAGGGTATACCTCCAGAAACCCATTGCGGCCCAGATAATCTGATATGGTAATGATCTTCTTTGGAGTGAACTTCTCTTTTAGATTGATGTTGAAAACTTTTACTCGGAAGAATTGACTTTCAGTAGCCACTGTGGCATGAAACATCTTTTTCTCCTCTTTGAATTCATATACAAATGGTTCTGTTGCTCTCAGCACCATCACTTCCATGGGTCCACTCTGGTG